ATTATTGCAGAGCTTGTGCGATCGATGTATCATTAAAATGTCAACATTCTCACCATTTTGGTTACATCTTGCGTATTACGTTATCCCTATAAATTAATCTTAATCGTATTTTAAAAGCTTACAATTTCCTTTATGATACTTGTATTAAAAACTTAAAGTAATATATTTTAATCATTGTCATTACTCATTACTAAAACCCAATTGATTATATTTGAAAGTGAAGAGAGGTTCAAATCATAACCAAAAAAAAAAAAAGTTGAGCAAGTAATCTTAACTATTCATAGAAAAATGAACGGTTTAAAAAGGACAATGTCATTGTTGTAATATTTAGAAAAACGACATAATACAAGTATGTCTGAAAAAATAGTTGATACTGATAATTGTAAGCTGTTGACTGTAACTTTTATTTGGAACCAAAAACTGTAGTTTTTCTTTATGTAAAAATTTGTCAAAAAGATATTCTTAGTTGGGTTTTTAAGCCATTTGAAAATAATCTATTATTCCTCTCTGGTAGCTAGATACCGTTAACCAACTTTGTTATGTTGGGCCAAAGCGTAAAAGGACATGAAAATGGCCAGCATGAGTCATATAAATGCAAACAAGTAAAATAGTAAATACACCACAAGAATCAACTAAACTACAAAGTCTACAATTTTGTCTTCTTTAAGTCAATAACTAGATAAGAAGCCCCCGCTTCGCGGGGGTTGGATTCGACACTTATGTCAAAGAAAACCGATGGAAGACATTACGTTAAAGATGGTGTCATCGTTTATAAGTCGTTTGTCATGGAAGTATGATGCTATAATTGGTTGACTATGAAAGTATGATGCTTAAAAAATGAAGTAAAGTAAAAGCAAACTGAGATGTATTCTCTTTTTAAAACACTAGGGTACAAAATTAATTTAACCAAATTTAGTCTAAGGCAGCACCAGCCCAACTGCTGCCTCTCGTGGGTACTGCTCCAATTCCTCCTCTTTGACCTTTATCGGGTCTCCCTTGTAGCTTCAAACCCAATGGAATCTATAAATGAAGGAGAATGAGAAAACATATAAGAAAATGACCAATATACCCTTCAAAAAATTGGAATGCATAAAAATGCATTTCGTGGACCTCATTCTATGTTATTACCTTCTATGCAGTCGGGCAGACCGGTTGATTGCTAGACATGCTATAATGACTAAACTGGCTGCAACGGTTGAGAGCCGGAAGCATAATTGTTCATGGCCCAGGAGTGTGAGGACTGCAAAGTACTTGGCAGTTTCTTATATGGTTTGATTGATACAATGTCACATTAATAGCATTGGATGATACAAGGTCACATTAATAGCAAATAGCCTGTATAAACTGCATACAAATCCTGTTACCCTGAAATGGCATCTTCATGAAGTCAAGCTACAACAAAGGAGAAAAAAATAGAATAATAAACTTTGAATTTTTTGGATTCAAACATAAGTCGGTCTAAATCTGACTATTACCTACATTAACTTAAAACTGTAAAAACTGAATTTTATTAATAAAATTGAATTTTATTAATATAATAATAGTGTGCAGGGCCAATACGGTCCTAAAGCTGAAAAAAATTAATTTTATTAATATAAAAAGTGTGCAGGGGCAATATGGTCCTAAAAATGCAAACATTCTACACATTAATTTGAGAATATAACATGGAAAAAGGTTAAAATAGAAGCTAAACAAAAACTGGTAGCAAAAGTACCTAGCCCATGACTCCATTTCTTGAGTTAAAGTCCACACATCTACTCCTATAAATTCGTGTATTCTGCAAATTATCACAAGGAAAAAACTTAAGAAGGCTATGAAAATCAAAACATATTAACCTAATGTTAAGAAAAAGCAATTTAGTATGTTTAAAGTAGATAAATGTATAAAAGATCATTGCATCCACTTTTATTCGAGGATACACTTTTATGTAAGAATTAAGATGACGTTCCCTCATTCTTACTTTTAAACTCGACTATTACATTCCAACTTTCTAAGTAGATATTGATTTGTAACAAATTTAATATATACATACGACATGTACTTTTCCTTCAAATTCTGCATCTTTTCTTTATCAAATATTTGTTCAAATATTATTTGTGATAACAACTGATGGAGAAAAAAAATGAAGAAACATGGCTTAAAGACATTACCTTTTGCATAAAAGGTAAGAAAAGGGGTCTATACTCTATCGCATCACTTCCATTTGGTGGCATAACGATTGTCATACCTGATATACTATAAAAATGGAAAATAAAAACACAAACAAATAAATTTAGTCATAAGGAAAGATTTTGAAGCCTACATTTGATAATAAAAATGAATGATTTTTTAAGCCTATGGTTGATAATAAAACTGAATGATACGGGAAAATTCAGTTGAAAAGCCCATCTTGGAACTCGTTTGATGCAAGTTTATCTCCCCGTGTCTTCTGAGTCAACATCTTCAGCTGGTTCACAGCAAACATCCACCGAGGAACATACGGATCCAATAAACCCTCAGTTAGACCTTCTAATTGTGTAAATGCAGGCGAGCTATCAAAGCATTATGTACAGTAATATAAGATGTAGAAAGTAAAAGTATAGGAAAAAAATCAGGAACAGTACCTGATGTGATATTGATGCAGGGAAAATGCAGATGATCTATTATTTTTTACCACTAACCTGCCAAAAAAGAAACAACAATACTCATATAAACAACTAACTAAATAAAATATTAAAAGATCTTCTTTAGCTTTTAGACAAAGTGGAAAAAATTGTTTTCACATTGGAGAAGTGTTGAGAATAAGCAAGATTTTATTAAAAATGTACGTTAAGCATGTATGCTCATTTTTCATTGGCCATATGTTACAACTTCAGGTGGAAACCAATCTAGATTAATGGTGTTGTAGCGAGACAACATTGAACCTAATTATTATAAAAAAAGAGGGGCAATGTCAGTTTATGTTAAGATTCTATCTTTTTGGAATCCTACCACCCCAGAAAAACAATAAGAATGTTTGGCTTCTTCTATATTGTTCTATTAATCCTTATTTCATTCGAGTATTCAAGTAAGCTGAATTGGTTTTTGTTTAATTTGACCAATTCTGTGAGTATTTCGTATCGTTTATCAGACTTTCTATAAACCTTTATTCACCAGGTAACAGTTCAATAGTATTGATCAAATCAAAAATTACTGAAAACATTCACAAATTGCAGCAAGGATTAGTAGCTAATATGACCAACAAAACTCATTTAATAATTATAAAGTACACCTGTAAAAGAATTGTGTATAGTTTTTTTCAACTGTAAATGTCTAAAACAATGGAGTTTTTAAATTACCTTAAACAATAATCCTCTGAGTCACTTTGCTTTGTATATCTGTCACCAAAATATTGATTTAACTACTCATCTATCAACAAATTTTACTGAAAAAAAGATGTGACGTTGCTAGAGTGATACCAACCTATGTTTCCTCCAAAAATTACCTGATGTGCATGCACAATGTGATAAAGCTGAAGGTGAACAATGTTTTCAACATCAAGTGCTGTTGTGGTTCTATTTCTGATAAGAGTCTCTTGAGGACAGATGAGTCTCGACTGAAGTTTGTTAGCTCTGATGCTGCTGATGGACGTTTCAAGCTGAGTAAATCAAACAGTGACTAAAAGAAATTGTAACAGAAAAATGAGAACGCGAGGTGAGAGGAGAGAAAGCTTATACCTTCCGATACCGGTATTTGAACCGGCAAGTCAGCCGATCCAAAAAAATTAGATCTCATCAAGATGTTGCTATGTCGTCTACAAACAACCTCAGACCTGTTCGAAGCTTCAATCAAAGAGGGAAGATGCAAATTAAGATGCGAAACTACCTCCAACTTTCAATCGACAGAAATCACATAGGAGATAGTTATCCCAAGTAAGAATCAAATGGAGAAAACACGATTAGAAGCCAGGGAAGGATTCTTCAGACGACGCAAGCAATGGAGGCAGTGTAGAGTTTAGTAACCCTATGATCGGTTGCTTCATCGTTGTTATCAGCAAAAAACGAAAAAAAAAACATACCTGCGGTGGAGATGACCGGAGGTGGCGGTGCAAAGGGCAGAGACGACAGGAGCGTCGGTGTAAGTTGCTGCTTCTTCCTTTTTCCCTCTCGATCTCCCCCAATCTCTACGCCTTCGAATGTTTCTCTGATTATCGGAACAATGATCCAAAAAATTCAAGAAAGGGTGCAGATACAGAAGCGATATGTAACTTCCATTTGTGTAGATTGAGGATTTTAGAGATAATGGAGGCTGCGACTGAAGAAGCGGTGGGAGATAAAAGGAAGACGGTGGAAGGATCGGGATATCTTTAACAAAAACCAATGTAAGTAGAAGGGCCGAATCGGCTGAGAAGGAGGTTCGAATTTAATCGGTGACTTCAGAGAAGCGCCACCGTTGGTGGTATCTGGAAAATTAGGAATATGTAGAAGTGAACAATCGGGTGGAGATAGAGAAAAAAAGGAAAGAGGGACGATACTCTAATTGCAAAGCGGTTGGAGGTAGCGAATAGTCTTTGATCGAGAGAGAGATGATAATCTGTAACACTTTGATTGGAGAGCAAAACGGTGGAGAAGGAGAAGCGGACACGTACCTGCGTAAGTAAGACTCTCCGGCGACGACCACCATTGACCATCCCACTCCAACAAAATGCTTTTGAAAAGTTACCACATTTGACAACTTTGTATAACAGAAGGGATTATTTCTGCCAATCCCTTAGCCACTTTAATGTAGCTAAGGGTAGAGAATTTTAATATATATATATATATATATATATATATATATATATATATATATATATATATATATATATATATAATAGATGACCAATATAGTCAAAGATGCTAGATGCTGCTTGTTTTAGGTCAACCACACTCGTTAAAAAACACAATATATAATCTCAATTTAACCATTCATCATCCTACACAACTTCAATCTTCACAACACACTTACCCTCCAACTTAAAAAAAAAGATTCGCATTTGTAAGATGAAGGTGACAGTTAGCAAAGAAAGCAAGAACAAAAACAAGAGATGCTTTTCTTCCCCGATGAGATTTTTTAACAAATTTGGAGATCTTTATGTGAAAATCATGTCAAAATGGGCCAACCACTTAGAGTCAACGGGAGTCAATGTCACCACTTTGCCCAGAAGTTTTAGTGTGAGCTCAAGTAGATTGAGTAGTGGTGACCAGGATCTAGTAGAGTTAATGAGAATTGCCTCACGAAGAGGTCTGGCTAAAAAGGTCGAGTCTGAGTTTTTAAGGCAAAAAGGGTTAGCACATGGGTCGACCCGGATGAATGATGGGTTGCATAGTCGAAGTGTTGGTGTTATGGGGAAGATCGATGAAGATGAAAGTTTTGATTTTGGTGGGGGCAATGATTTTAAAATTAACGGTGTTAATTTTGCAAGAAGTAGAAGTCATGTTGGTTTAACACGAAATAATGGGATGTTCTAGAAATGACAAACAACATGGATAATACGTGTGAACACAATTTATTTGGTAGGGTGTGCAAAAAAAAAAATGTAAACCGGAAAAAATGAAAAAAAAAACAAAAGAAAACGAAAAATCTTAACTTAAAACACATGTTTTGGTTTTTATGTTTTATGAAAACAAGATTTTAGGTTTGATAGTTCGTTTTTGGTTTTGAAACCAAATGATATTGTATCTTAATACGAGAATGATATTATATCTTAATACGATATTATTTTTGTATCATATAAAAATTTATTACTAAATTAATTATTAGCGGTTTCTTTTAAGTTTCATTGCACTCCAATTTCATGAATTTGAATTCTAACAAGTCCATGCAATTGAGTATTGGAAAACCAAAAGTCTAACCCATAAATTAAAACTGAAAATAATCGAAGAAAATAATTTTTGGAACAGAAAACCATTTTTTTTTGGTTTTAAACAAAACCAAAACATGTTCATCCCTACTCTTTAAAAATAGTCTCGTTAATATTATAAATGAGTAACAATTTTTTTTTTTTACAAAATACTATTGTTTTTAAAATAGTGTTATCATACATTAAACAAGTGTAACCTTTTGTTGGCTTACTTAGCTAACCATTTGTTGGATTATTTGATTATCTTGGAACTTTACTTTGAATTATGGTTTCATATACCCTTTGACTTTGAATTATAGATTCATATACCTTTTGACTTTGGATTATGGGTTTATATACCTTTTGATTTTGGATTATGGATTTATAGCACCTTACACTTTTAACTATTGAAAATTTTGGAACTTTGACTGTTTTGAATTCATTTTAGAGGTTTGACTTAAGTGGGAGTGATCGTCATCATTACTTAATGTAGATGTAAAAACGTCAGTCTCTGGTATTCTCACTAGGCTTTCCATGCCTAACTGATACTTTGACATGTGTCCAGACTAGACTGAAAACACAAGAGGAGAGAATTAGAGATCATAGGGACTTTTATATGGATACAACCTTGTTGTGGTTTCATATTGACTATCTTATGATAGTAATTGATGCTAGCTACCTAGTCTTTTGAACTAAATAAATTTGTTTTGGGAGCATATTTGCACACTTTTAAACTTCAACCCATTTTTTTTTATTTTATTATTTTTTTATTTTTTATAATCCAATAATTTTATAAAGCTTTTTAAAACAATCCATGTGAGTGATGTTTTCACGTAGCATTAATATTGCAAATCTAACTCTTCTAGAATTCCTATGGACCTACGCCTAAAAAGAGTTGTACACATCTTAAATTGTGTTCCCTCAAAGTCTATCCTTAAAACTTTGTATGAATTGTGGGTGGGTAGGAAATCCAAACTTGATTATTTAAGAGTTTATTGTTGTCTGAATTAAGCCAATGTATACAACCATATATATGAACAAAGTAGACCCAAAGTCAATATATTGTTACTTTGTGCGTTATCCAAATAGGTCTAAAAGGGTTATAGTTTTTATGCCCCCTTGCATACCACTGGAATAGTATGTATCATCATTCTCTTATTTGTTTGAAGAAATTCGATCCATTTCATTAAATTGATGTTGTATTTTCAAGAATTAATTAGACATGTTTCTCTCGTGATGCATGTGTTTTATTATGCAACCATTTCAAATAAAAAAACTAGTTGCAAGAGAGTATGCATATAACCATCGAGAAAAAGACGGTGATGTTTTTTTATAACTATCGAACACAAAAAATGTTTTAGGATGGTGAAATAGAGGTTTTAACATTCAACAAAAACCGTATATAATTGTTTTCATGAAGTTTTACCCGGAATAATGGAATTCTCAAAAGAAGTTGTAGGACCATCACTTGATGCAATCCAAAACATGTATGATCACCAAAACATTTGAGATAAATATTTTTGGCATGTTGATTCATATAGTTTGTAATTACTAACATTTTAACGAGATTTTTTTTATATACTTCAATACTTTAAATAAAGGAGCAATATTGCCTTGGACGGAACTCTCGTGCATAAGTGCTGCCCAGCTTCTCATATAATGAACAAACAGTTTATAGAGGAAAATAAGGTGGCCAATGCTATGCAAATGTTTTGGGATTTGTGATTTTATAATGATATTTACTTTTGATTGATTGTAGAATACAAATGAGAAAGTCATACTTAATCCATATTTAGGCTTTTCGTTTCCTCTCCATTGTTTTCAAGTTTTATTTTGATTTTTTAATTTGTATATTTAATAATATTAAAATATATCAAGTATCAACACTCATAGATTGCATATAAATGTTATATTTTTGGTGTTGCATATCCCAACACTTGGTGGATTTTTATCTCAGTATCGTAACATCAAGTGCTGTAACATCAAACATCAAACATCAAGTATTGGTTAGTCAATTTCGACATCGACATGCTCTAACTAAAGAAGAAAAATCCAATCATATACATGCACAAACTGAGAAATGGTATTGAAGGTGTTCAAAGTGTCTTGACAACAATATTTTAAATATTAAAGCAAATGTCTCATTGTCCATTTTCATTGGAAAATAATGTGGTCATTACATTTTTTTTGTAGACTTATAGTACATAATTTCATAAGGAAATATAATAACCAAGATAAATTATTTGTGGAGTACGATGAAAACATTGTATTTAACAATAAATAAGTTAAGGAAGCTGGTGAAGAAGAACCACATAGGTTGTGTATCATGAAATTGTTAATCGATTGTAACGAATATTTGTATTTTATATTATCATCTGAATTTACTTTAATATTATATTCAATTTAATTTACTGCTCATCCCATTTTAAAAAAAAACAAAACTTTCGAAACATTTGTTGATACGGTCATATACAAATTTCTACTTTATTCTGATTACTAAACAAACAGTCATTTGTTATTTGATTCTTTTAAATAGAAAAATAAAATAATCATTTATTAATGTTCAGACTTACATAGTTTTAAAAATAAATAGTTTTTCTGTATATAACGTTTTATCCACGTACAATAGTTTTTCTGTATATAACATTTTATCCATATAAATATCATTATAGTTTTTCTGTATATAACATTTTATCCACGTATAATATTTTATCCATACAAATATCATTATAAATTCAGTTTATTTTATCAATTATGCACTTAATGGGAAAAAAACAAATAAAAAGAAAGAAAAAGGGGCCTTGAAAGTTGAACCTATAAGCTATAACAATGAAATTTAAAAGTCAGTTAAATATGAATCGGTCAACCGTCCACTGATGATCTATTATTCTATTATTATGATGTGGCAATGGGCCAAAGAGTAAAAGACATGGAAGAAAATGGCCTGCATAAGTCATATAGGCACAAATAAGTAAATACAACACAAGAATCAACTAAGCTTCAATTTTGCCTTGTTTTAAGTCATTAATAGACGACAATTTAAAGATACACATACATCATTTCTTAGATTAGACTCATTAGGACTATGTTTTTTTTAGTTTCCAAATGGATCTATTAATCGAGTCCAAGATGCCCAATACAGCATTTACACAAAACAAAGGTCAGCACTCTTAGAAAAAACACAATATATATATATATATATTATCTCATTTTAACCATTCATCATCCTACACAACTTCAATATTCACAACACTTCCCCTCTAAGATGAAGGTGACCATTAGCAAAGAAAACATGAACAGACAATGGTCTTGTTCCCCAGTGAGTTTTTTTAACAAAATTGGAGATTTTTATGTGAAAATAATGTCTAAATGGGCCAACCAATTAGAGTCAACAGGAGTCAATGTCACGACTTTGCCCAGAAGCTTTAGTGTGAGCTCAAGTAGATTGAGTAGTGGTGATAAGGATCTAGTAGAGTTAATGAGAATTGCCTCACAAAGGGGTCTGGCTAAAAAGGTTGAGTCTGAGTTCTTAAGGCAAAAAGGGTTAGATCATGGGTCGACCCGAATGAATAACGGGTTGCATAGTCGGAGTGTTGGTATTATGCGGAAGATTGATGAAGATGAAGGTTGTCAATTTGGTGGAAGTGATGATTTTAAAATTAATCGTGTTAATTTTGCAAGAAGTAGAAGCCATGTTGTTTTCACAAGAAAGAATGAAATGTTTTGACAAGATACCATTTCTTTGGTATTGTATCTTAATACAATATTATTTTTGTAACCTATATATAAGTTTATTACTTGATTAATTATTTAATGTCTTTCGAATTTCTATTGCACTCTAATTAGTTGTCTTCTTCTTTTTCTTCCAAGTGGATGACCGAACAAACTCCATTAATTCACATCTCTCTTTATTGAGTTTTTCTTTCTGCATTAAGTCAAAAAAAGAAACACACATACATAGCTTACAATACTAAACTTAGATTCGAGTAGCAAAGCTTAGAATCCACACAAACATTCACAAAACGAATTCAGGCAACACAACTTGCTGCCATTATTTGGCTCTATTATTTAAGCACACAAAATGTTTTTTATACAAAAAAGTGTATGGTTATACCATGTAAACAAAAGAATCGAGGAAGACTAGATTGATATTAGGATATAATTACATGTAGAAAAAGGATTAGACATGGAAGGAATCTACTATAGCTTTCAAAGTCTTTTGAGAAGTCGGCCACTGTTTATCACTAGCACTAGCCACAAATAAGATCACAGTGTTTCCCTTTGCTGTAGCCTTTGCAATGTTGTGTGAACCAGTCAATGCAAATGGAGTCTCCAACACATACCTATAGTACTGCAAATATAACAACAGTGTTACACAGACAGAACAGAACAGAACAGTACAGAACAAGACAAGACAGAACAGGTTGTACCGTTTGATCTCCGATCTTCTCAATAGAAGTTTCAAGCAGTTCATCTGAGTCATAACTATTTCCAGTAACAAACTGGCCAAGAGAGGCAATAACTCTTTCAGGGCTCCCAATATCTTCAATTGTTGCATTTGGTTTGTTGGTCAAACGCACCAAAGGTGAAGCCACTACTTGAACTTTACCCTGTTTTTCATTTTCAAATTTCACCTCTATCCACGGCTCTGCGCATTTGGGTTGACAGTAGTTTCCAGAAAGTATGTTAGCAATTCGCAATTGTTTCCAAGTTGGTGGAAGGACAAACTGGTATGGCTGCACATTTCCTGCACACAACTAAAATCAAAATTTTACTATAATAGAAATGCAGAAGCTACAAATTTTAAATAAAGATTATAGTCGCTAACTTTCAAGATAATTCTTATTATACATTCTAGTCCCAAAAGAAGGGGTGTCTAATTGGTTATCATAAATAGAAAATCAACAACTAAAAAATGATAAGTACTACATATAAAGGTATCTGATCATAAATATTTCGAAGATTGGATTTAATATATACATTTTTCATTCAGATTAGAGATTGATAAGGTCAAAATCGCAATCAAGAACTGAAATTTTACCTGCACGAAGAGCTGGAGTGTCTTTAGAAGAGGCTTGAAAGAGAACGAAATTAGGATCAGAAGTCGACTGGGGTAGATAGGTGCCAACCTCTATCTCTTTGGTTTTGGCCTGAGAAGGTGAAGGTGAATGTAACGGGATTATGGTGGTGAATGGTACTAACAGAGACAATCCTTTGAGGAATTGTCTTCTGGCAGGAGATTGATGGAATGATGGAGAGTCTAGGAGTGTAGGTTTGTTAGAAGAAATAGGTTTTGAAGAAGAGAAAATGGAGGATAGTGATGAAACCGAAGCGGAAGCCATGGTTGAAGAGAGATCGAGAGAGAGGTCTCCCGCTTTAATCAGGTTTTGGATGAGGTTTTTTAATGGTCGTTCTCTGGACCGCCACCCGTTCGTATTATTGGGATTGAAAATTTAGGCAAAATACAAAGTTTTTTTATTGGAAGTTTTTGTAAAAATAAAAGGAGAACGACTATTTAGGTTAGGGCCGTTCATGGGTCGGTTTTGGACCCAAACCCAACCTAACCCATAAATGGTCGGTTTCTAGTTTTCAGAATCCAATATGATCGGTTTCTGGTCGGTTCGGTTTCTCGAGTTCTGAAGTCGGTTTGGGCGGTTTTTCGGTTTCTTGGGTTCAACCCATATATTTACGGGTTCTGGGTTTAAACCCATGGGTTTTGGGTTTTAACCCATTTTCCATAAATGAAACAATAAGTTAAATACTTCAAAAAAAACATCAAATTTAAGTGAAATACTTCAAAAAACATGAGTCTTACAACAAATAGTCTATTACAAGTTAAAACCAAAGCCCGAAATAGTCTATTAAAACAAAAAAAAAACAATCAAGTATGGGTCGGTTTCTTGGGGCAGTTTGTCGGTTTTAAGTATGATCGGTTTCTCGGGTTGGATGGGTCGGTTTCTGGGTAAAAACCGAAACTGAACCTGATTTTTCGGTTTTTAAAAAAATCAAACCCTAACCGTCAGTTTTGCTTCGGTTTCGGTTTCGTCGGTTTTAGTCAGTTTCTCGGTTTTAGTCGGTTTCTTGGTTTGAGTTTGCTCACCCCAAGTTTAGGTTAATAAGTATTATTTTTGTATATATTTAATTATATTTATTTCGTATATAACTTATCATTAATTTTTTGTGAGTTCTTTAAAATCTATTGTTATCATCATCCATCGAATATTACAGGTTAATCTTTTTTTTTATATACAGTTTACTCTATTTTTTTATACAATGTACAAATCTTCCTCAATCGGTCAGGATATCCTCGTATCATCCCTCTGATTGCCATATGATGATGCGGAAGGATGGCCAGATGAACGTTTTAGTTTAACTGTGTCTGTTTCTCTCGGGACTCGATCGAGTCATTCTTGTGAAGAGATATTAATAGAGGGAGCAGATGCATGCTTTTTCTTTCAATAGCGGACCAAATGACTATATGATCAACAATATTCAACTATGCATCAATCATCATCTTCGGCCACCACCATTATCCACCTCCAACAACAAACATCGTCTCATATTATCTGACAAAGAACAATCAAGTTATGGTTTTGCGATGATTGGTTTCTTATTGGGTTCGTCGATACACAATGAATCAGAGAGCAATGGAATCTCAACCTAATTCTTCTATGGATCACAATGAAGTTTGTAAAAGGTAGACTCTTGAATATTTTATGTGTGATGCATATCAAAGACATGAGTGATAGTGAGAGAGAAACAATGTTGTCTCTGGTAGTTTCGACCAAACATATCAGGGGTAAGTATGATTGTGAAGCTTCTTGTGGTCTATTTAGGGTTCTCCGACAATATTTTTGTTTTCCGATGATGGATCATGGATGTATGGGTGTATGTATATCTTGTCGTGTTGGTCAAAGAAAATAACTGAAAAATGACCGGAAAAGTTGAAAGTGAATAAACGTGTACAAAAGTTAGTTTAATGGTTAAACATGTACAAAACTGTGAGTTTAATGATGTTTTAAAAAAAATAATTTTAATGATTTTTATTAAATAGATAAACTGACTCGATCTACAATAGTTGGTCAGAATGAGATTTCTTAAACAATAAATATGAGTTTAATGGTAAATTTTATCAAAAAATATGCTAAATATATACGAAAATGATAATTCATTACCATAGAAGGTTATTACCCCTAAAATAAAAGTAAAATTGCAACCCATATTACTAATTTTATAGATGAAGTTTTTCAATTTTCTAGATTACGTTGAATAAGAAAAAGTTGGATGATAATAACTTTTTGTTGAATAAAAGTTAATGAAAAAATTTATACATTTTTGTAAAATAAATTAATTTTTTTGAAATGACAAATATTAATATTAAACTATTTGTAAATTATTCTATCTATGTCTGTAACGAAGTCTCAAGGTTAAAGAGGAAAGACAACATTAGATATCGCTAGTCTAGAAGCCTTTAGTTAAAGTAAATTAAAATCGAATATTTTACTAAAAATAAAAAAACATAAACTTTGTAAAGTTAAACAATACTAGTATATTTTATTTAGAAAAGGGAAGCAAACAGGGGACATTTTTGTAGTTTGCCCTAAAAACAATGAACACCAGAAAACGGTAAAGGTTCAAACACAGCGGGCATTTCCAAGGGCGAATATTGTGATCATCGTCCTGTAGGAGGTTTTGGTTGTTTGAAATTGTTTCTCAATCAAACGAATTTTCCTTTCTCGATCAACACGACAATTTGCGGTAAGTTCCTCCATTTCAATCAATCTTTTCGAGTCTCTTGAGGTTTCCGTTAATGATTTAACGTATTCGTCAATGTAGACCGCATTTAGGTTTACTAAATTTACAAATTTCTCACTTCTGTGATGTTGATATCAGATTCGCTGGCGTACTCATTTCAGTTCATGATTTCGTTTTGTTCTTGCTATTGGATTTGCTGATTTTGTTTCTTATTATTTGTACGTTATGAAGCGTCTGAAAATCTCCGAAGACGTAAAATTGTTAAGTTAGTATTTGTATTAGGTTTCTATCTTTGCTTGATTTGCTTTCAATAACAGTGGAAAGCGTTTGAGTTAATGACTGAATATCATTTTGAGACGTTCATGCGTACCAAAGGTCACTTATTCCATATTTGAGGGTCTTGGTTAAATATGTAGCCAATTGTTTAACAGTTTTAGTTCATTGTCTTCTACTTTTAGCTTTGGAGCATCAGATTTTGGGTGTTTGAATCTTATTGACATCGAATTGTAACACTCAAAGAAAAATATATTTCAAATACATAGTTCTACTTCTGCCATTATAATCATAAAAATTACACCACTTTCATTTAATTTTCATGCAAATGAACTAATATAAGTCATCAATAAGACAATAACTGTTAGTTAATTAACATTATTGGTTTTTCTTTTTGTCATCATTTTCACGGGTTCATATTTCTGCAGGGTGTTGACTGCAACAATGAACGCAAAAAAATCAAGAAACGTTACAGAAAATGGGGAAACAGTTGAAGATTCAATCCTCATGACATTGATAGGCAATGGTGAGGATTTAGCACCAATGGTAAGACATTCATTTGAGATGGGAAAGCCTGAAACTCTTGTTCTCCAGCTAAAACACGTTGTGAAAAAGAAAGAAGTTGAGATTGAAGAACTCTGTAAGCTCCACTATGAAGAATTCATTGTTGCAGTTGATGAGCTTCGTGGTGTCCTCGTTGATGCAGAAGAGTTAAAAAGCGAGCTTGCAAGTGATAATTTCAGGTTACAAGAAATAGGAAGCGCATTACTTTTAAGACTTGAAGACCTTCTTGAATCTTATTCCATCAAAAAGAATGTTACAGAAGCTGTTAAAATGTCAAGAATGTGCGTTGAAGTGTTGGATCTTTGTATAAAGTGTAACAAATACGTAGCTGATGGACAGTTTTACCCTGCTCTGAAAGCCATTCATCAGATAGAGGAAAATTACATGAAGGTAATCCCTGTTAAAACCCTCAAAAACCTAGTGGAAAAACGAGTCCCAGTTATAAAAAATCACATTGAGAAAAAAGTATGTGGTGAAATCAATGAATGGCTTGTTCATATTCGTGGGACCTCTAAAGAAATTGGTCAAAAAGCAATTGGATTTGCTTCTTCTTCACGTCAAAGAAACGAAGACATGCTTGCAAGACAAAAGAAAGCAGAAGAAGAAAGCTGTTTAGGTCTTGGAGATTTCACTTATTCATTAGATGTTGAAGAAATTGATGATAATTCTGTTTTGAAGATCAATCTTATGCCTTTATATCGCGCGTATTACATCCACGTGTGTCTTGGAATCCGTGATCAGTTTCGTGAATACTATTTCAAAAATCGAATGTTACAACTAAATTCAGATCTTCAAGTCTCATCTCTACAACACTTTCTTTCATCACACCAAACTTATTTAGCACAAATCGCAGGTTATTTCATCGTTGAGGATCGTGTTCTTAGGACAGCTGGCGATTTGTTATCACCTAGTCAAGTTCAAGCAATGTGGGAAACAGCTGTATCGAAAGTGACTGAGAATCTGGAATATCAGTTTTCTCATATGGACACTGCAAGTCATCTTCTTTTGGTAAAAGACTATGTTACCCTTCTTGGTGCAACTCTCAGACAATATGGTTATGATGTGGGGTATATTCTTGATGCTTTGACTAATTCACGTGATAAATATCATGAGCTTCTTTTGGTGGAATGTCGACAACAGATTAAAGATGCAGTTAATGATGATGATTGTAAGCAAATGGTTTTGAAGGAGTCTGAATATTCAACTAATGTTCTTTGTTTTCATCTTCAGACATCTGAAATAATGCCAGGGTTTCCTTATGTGGCGCCTTTTTCATCTATGGTCCCTGATTGTTGTCGAATAATCAGATCTTTTATAAAAGATTCGGTTAATTACTTGTCGTATGGTGGTCAAACCAATTTCTTTGACTTTGCAAGAAAGTATCTTGACAAGTTGTTGATTGATGTATTGAATGATGTCATACTTTCCACCATTAAAAGTAGTAACACTGGAGTATCTCAAGCTATGCAGATTGCTGCTAATATATCGTTTCTTGAAAGAGCATGTGATTATTTTCTTCAAACTGCAGCTAAACAATGTGGGGTTCCTACTCGAATGATTGCAAGGCCTCAGACTACTTTAAATGCAAAAAATGTTCTGAAATCCACAAGGGAGAAATCTTATGTTGCTCTTGTGAACTTGGTCAACCATAAGTTGACCGAGTATTTGTCGCTTATGGAGAAAGTCAATTGGATTATTGATGACGTGGCGCAACATAAAAGCGAGTATATGAATGAGGTTGTTATGTATCTTGATACGCTTTTGTCGACAGCTCAGCAGGTTTTACCTCTGGATGTTATGTATAAAATTGGGAGTGGGGCCCTTGAGCATAT